ATTTTTCTATTTTTCATGTAAATCTAATCCAAGAATATAAGATAAAATAGTGAAGAAATTATGCTATCTTTTCAAATATCTTAACGTTTTGTTCGAAATAACTATTAAGATGAGCGCTGAATTCAAGTGGCAACATACTTTAGTWGATAAGTCGTTCCTCTTTCTTAAATTTTAATTCTTTTTATACTACATATACCTTTGGTTTTGGTATTAAAATGTGCGCGCTATTTTTTTWASTGTTAAATATTTAATCCTTAACCAGTTATTTAGTTGTTTTGCATCGTAGTCCGTTGCTCCTCTTGTTCTTTTTCGACGATCTTTTTTATGCTGTTTTTGTGATTTTTTACAATCACATGKGCAAAAAATATAATTACAAACGCTGTCCACGTGATGTATGTATTATCTATTATGAGTCCAAGGACGTTAATAATTGATAGCTAGTCACACTAAACCTATGAGAAAATCCTTTTAATAACACAAATTTATTAGACACAAGCCAGAAACATGGCTTCTCTTTTATGGTTAAGAACAATACCTTCCTTCTGTAATCCCTAAAATGAGCGAATTCCAGAACAAAGTTATAGTGTAGTTACTCGGCAATGGATTTTACTTAGTGAACKGCCTGAATTATCTAAGCTCTGCATCAATGGCCTATCGCTCAACAATCAATAGTAAGTGCCCAATTGTGCCGTGTTGTATTATAATTTCAAGAAGTATACATAGCGTACTTTTGAAGTCAATTTTTCTGACAGCAACTTAATTATGGCGATTTAGTGTGTTCTATAGTTTTGATCTACGACTGATGGTGGATTTTTATCTGCTGTGGATGTAGATTGCGATATAAAAACCAAGCCGAAAGGAGCTATTTATACTATCGAGCGGAAAGGTAAGAAACAAACCATACTATAAACATTGGACATAATCTCCTATATCTATTATTATCCGTCACGAAAGGCGACCACGAGCGGTGAAGGTCAGCGGAATCGTACCTAAAATCACGTGATATTTTAAAGAAAAATTTCACTCATAAAACTTAATAATCCTCTTATTGGTCATAATCGCCTATATCTTTTATTTCCGGCTCAAAAAACAAAAAAAGGTATTATTTACAGAGGTCAGCGGAATCGTGCCTTAAAATCACGTGATATTGAATATCTCAGTATATCTGTATAAAAAACGCTTCACTCAAGTTCTGGTATAAATTTTACACCTCTTATTGGTCATAATCGCGTATTTGTAATATATTCGGTCCTATTCTACTAACCTGAATTTTTATTTTTATGCCTCTTCAGCAAAAAAAAAAAATACTCATAAAACCCAATCAAGTTATACCTTGTGTGCAATATTATAGAGGATATTACATGGGCGCGCGGAGATACGGATTTTATCTTCGAGCGTTGAAAAGATCTCTCACGACAAGATAAAATTCGTATTTCCAAGAGACCATTTAATATTCTGTTTATCATATAATTACATATGAAAGCAAATTATGTCGTAAAATGCCTTTTTTTCTTACTTCCACTATATAGAGAACCTGAACGTAACTTTACAAAATGGAGAAATATAGGCATTTCATAGATAATTATATAGTGATAAAAGATATTATTTCATTTATATTCATTGACACAAAAAAGGACGACTTTATCTAGAGGTCAGCGGAAWAGTACCGCCGTTAGCAAAATATTTCAAAGCGCATGCATTCAGAATGATTAAGATAAGTGACTATTTTGTCTAGTTTTTGTAATTCACAGATTTTTTTCATTAAACATCGCTGTAGTCGTAATTTACGAGTCACGTACCTACAAAATGTTTCCACAAAGCACGTACATGCTGGCAAAAAAAATGCTTGGATTTTCTCTGTGGTTCATAAAATGTCACATAAAATGCTTTTAATATTATAGAGAGTTCAAAAAACTGCTCATTTGCCTCATTAGAAACATTTTGTATAAAATGTTCCACGTATATATTTTCTGGTATACCCTTTYCATGACAAGTAGGTATCCAATCTGAAAGTCGAATGCATATTTTCTTAAAATTTATACCATTAACTTTCAATGTACGCAGTCCAGACAGTGCATTGAGTGCTGTTACGTTTTATTGAAAGTGGTAGTGTATAGCACTTCTCATTATATAATTGTTTTCGCYTATAATTAACTTTTTGAGGTAGCTATTAAAACGATTAGCACCTGGTTGAGAGCCCATCATCTGTATTGGTGTWTAATTTACCGACGCGAGGCGAAGGCGAACACTAGTTTCTAAACGGATTTATCGGTAGAGGAAAACAGGAAAGCCTCGTTTTCACCAGTGGGATGTAGAGGTGGCAGAACCAGCGAAGTAAGCTGAATAACAAATATCAACTCTCCATTTTGTTTGCTTATCCTCCTTTCAATTCAGTTCATGAATGGTCAAAATTAACTTTATTTCGCGCTGTCCTTGAAGCTCATGCTCTTTTGAGTTTAAGTTTCGATTGCAATTAATTTTGAAGCATATCAATTGCAAGCCATCTTTGTTTCTTGAAGAAAAGCTCAAACGTGCAACAATGTTTGTGTTTTGTGGAGACATTGTAATTATTGTTGTTGCTGCTGATATCGGTTTCGGTACGTGATGCAAACAGATATCAGATGTAGTTTTGTATTGACAATGCAGTACAATAAAAACGATATAATAATGAAACCACCATAGATATATGATATGGTAATTTCTACCAAAGCTTGATAAAGTCATCCACTCCTTAGATTTTGATGGATTTTTAAAGATTTATCCAATGATTAGTGTGCAATTCATACTTCGTATCACCAGTCCCAGGTATCGACAGGGATTGAAATAACAAAACGYATGAAAAATGAAAAAAAGGAAACACGATGCCAGGATAGATACCTTTTTTTCATTTGCATCACACATTCTTCAGTTTGTATTGAAAGAAAGGAATCTCATGTAATTATCTATGAAATACCTATATTTCTCCAATTTCGTAAAGTTGTTATTTTCACWAGAGAAAATATCAYATTCGAGATTTCTCTATATAGTGGAAATAGGAAAAAAGCTATTTTACGACATTATTTGCTTTCATATGTAATTATATGATAAACAGAATATTACATGGTSGCTTGGAGATACGAATTTTATCRCTACGCTCACTCGTGAGAGATCTTTTCAACACTCGAAGMTAAAATTMGTATCTCCGCGCGACMATGTAATATCCTCTATTTATATAATTGCTTGTAGATCTATAGATATTTCTTTCGGTAACAACATTATTGCGTAAGCTACGATTCTTTTTACGATGTGAGCATGAAACTCATTACGTTATCCCAAACTATAATTGCTTGACTTAATACCTCCGAGAGTAAACTGTTCTTTTGTTTACGATATTTCATGCATGCATAATATAAGCAATATGGCTTCTCGTAAACTTCGTTTGTTGACACTTTTACTTTRCCTATGTTATTAAGAATCCTTGGATTCACATACTTCTAGCGGCTGGTTTTAACTCACAGATTCAATGCTATTGGTTTAGATAACAGGCAAGCGGTTTAGYTCATATGCAGGCACATCGGCTGTTGCCTCTAGAAATTGTTGCCCACGAAAATGGTGACTCTCGTATGCGAGTTTTGTTGCGACCACAGAGAGGTATAGTGAACCTAAAACTGTATTTTAAACTACTTTACAATGATTTAGAATTATTGGGCTTTGCTGTAGAGGTTTGGGCTTGTTTTAAGTAGAATTATAACTGATGTTCTTCTTTGCGAAACTTCTTTTATCTCAGGAAAGTAACTAAACATTACTTARGTCTAAACGCTTTTCAATTAACTTACGTATACACACTTGTGAATGTATTATGGATTGTTCTAGTATGTGGTACTATTGTTTAGTTTAAGTTTCGTGCACAGAAAAAGCTTATAAAGCTATAGAACTAAGCTGAACGGATTTCGTGCAGTTTGGGGTCAACAGCTGAGGACAATAACACAACTACATTCTTTTACATACTTTGTACAGTTTTAACTGCATTTTTCTTAACTTGTAATAACTTTTATAACCCGTATTTTCTGCTATTTTGAACGTTATTTGAAATTAGCTATACTATCACTTTAGATAGCGTTTCATCAACGTACAAATCTAAACCCAAGAATATACCAGTATGCTAACATTTGTGAACAGTGGCATTGTTTAAAGTTAAAGAGAAATACATTCTTATAGCGCTAACGTCCTTATCAACAATGCAATCTCAAGACTTGCCAGAAATTTACCTCAAGCTAAAATGACTAACTCGTTAGTTTTAGAGACATAGTAGATATCGGTTACTTTAATATTCCTTTTGCTGTGGAATGTTTTTGCTTAGTTTGTTAAGTAAATTTGATCATTGCATGAATTTTTCAAATGTCAAAGCCTCTGTGTATGTAGGTTATGCACAGAAATTGCATTTTTATTTTTATATGATCTTTATTACAGTTTCAAAAGCATATTTAAGTGGAAAATTGTTTTTTGAAATCACGCACTTGTCAATTTTCTCAGAAAAGTTCTTCAAAATTATGTTGTAGTTGACTGATTAACGACTGCTCAAAGTGAAATTAGCAATTCAAATTTTGTGTGCGTCAACAAATATTTTTAAGTTCTGATTGTAACTCGGCTGGAGCGGATAAGCTAAAGCTTTAAAAAACCACAGGTTACATAACGTTTTAGCTCTAAAGTATGTAGAGGCCGAACAGACTTATGGGAGAGAAAGTACTTGAACAATTATTACGGAATTAATTAAGATAAAGCAAATTCTAATTGTCATTCATTGAATTGGGTGTAATTTGATCCGAAGTTATGCTAGTTATGACAAAATATTTTTTAGAAGTCAATTGACTCGATCATTCAACATTCATTCAAGCAATTTATCAATCAATCATTCAACCAATTAAGCAATCATTTAATCATCCACCCAACTGATCAATTAATTCGCTAATTAATAAATCAAGCAATTAATCAAGCAATCAATTAATCAATCATACAACTAATCAATCAATTAGCCGATCATCTAGTGAAGATTAGTCGATCAATGGGAGGTAGCAATGGATGTGGTACTGCGATCCGGTGGTCCTCCATGGCTACTAGCTGAGACTTTATTTTTCTGGTCTTGATTTGAACATCTTTGTGATTCAATAGAGAAGGAACGAGAAWATGATTATATATACGAAATGATAAATAAAGGAATTACTGAACGATTGTAGGTTGATACCCCTTAACTAAAGTAAAAACGGAAAATGTATAGCTAATTACATCAACAGTGCTACTGTGTTTTGATCAACCTTTTCAGCSAATCAGTGCGCGTGTTCAATTTGAATTATTACTCGTATCAAAATATGGAACAGAATCCCTGTGTTTTCATGCGACAGACCACGTAGGCTTTTCGTGAGCTACAAAGTTTTAAAAATCGATGTAATTATTAAGTCCCTTGATGTGGTAAAAGAAATATTTCGGTTAAGTTTGTGATGTCTGCGTTCCCTTTGTATCCAATCAATTAAGCCATAAGTCAATTAGCTTAATTTAGCCTCATTTTCATGCATCTAAACAGACTTCCTTGGTGTGGGTATTTTTGMACCAAAAAGCTCACGCAGGCTTAGCTTAAAGGCACTTTTTTATCGATATTTCTCAAGCTTGTGCTGAATGTATCCATATTGAACTCRTGYTTCGTTTACAAGATGGAAATGATGAAAACGTAGTTGTTTTACATATTACATTAATCAAACGTGATACATTGTGATTCATAAAAAAACCTGTTTTGGATTCTGTGGTTTGGAAGTGGCTTAAACATGCTCCATACTTCAATGATTGCGTCCTCCGTGGATGAAGAMCAGCGACATAGAGGTTTTCTCACCCTTTAATTTTATATTGTATTCATTTTAGTATTATAAAAACCTTAAAGACGCAATGCTTATAGCATGTTTTTCACCCATTAGGCAAAACAATAGATGTTAGTTGTTTACGTTCAAAAACTATGTCTTTAGAGGTTGTATTAGATAATAATTTAAATCCGCAAGTTGTGTTTGTAGGAAACATGAATTATACTTTTAGCAGAGGATTTAGCACGTTGTAATACACGCAGCTTTATAATCTTGAATTTGTTCGAGTATTCGCTTTAGTTTTCTTGTCATTTTTATCACTAAATTCGTATTATTATCTTTGTCTTTTACTTCATGTTMAAATGATGATAATCTAGGGCGATTGAAGTTAAGTATTTCATTGAAGAGCTTGTTATCATACCTACTTGAMGTCAATCTGATATTTAATGATATACAATTTATTTGATACATATTAGGCCATGCTGAAGTGGATTTAAGGCGTTTTCGTGTTGTTATAAGTCACCACTCGTATAAAAACAATGCAAAAACGACATGAAAATGCCTCAAAATTGTGTATTGTCCATACTGGCGTGTTTTCGCAGCGTTTTCGTATTATTCTCACTCTCAATGGAATCAAGAAAATAACTACGTCACGAAAACTTACGAAAATCTCACGAAAACGTTACGAAAACTCATCATTGTGGACGAGGCATGTTGTCATTCTATAATGACCACAATCCTTAGCGACAATAGRAAATGTTTTGGTGTGATGCCTCAGTATTGTGGCAAACACTGGCGTGTTTTCGTATTATTCTCCACTCTCAATGGAGTCAAGAAAATTAAAAAACTGCGAAAACGCTATGAAAACGTCACGAAAACGTTACAAAAACGCATCAGTGTAGATGAGGCTTGTTGTTGTTCTATGGTGACCACAATCCTTAGCGATAATAGAATGTTTTGGAATAATGTCATAGTGAAAGAGGGTAATTATTGGGACGTTCTCATTTATACATCAACTATTATCATCAGCATTATAGATATCATGATTTATATATGTAATTGCCCTAGTTCATTATGACGTCACATCAAAACATTCTATTGATTTAACGCTAAGGATTATGGTCGCCAGAAGGGATCAGAGTGACTGCATATCAAATAAAATATACATGAACAATCATAAATACATGATGTATATCAAAACACGATTCATGGAAGTTCTACTCAGTTTAGTCGACAACATAAATGGGTCCAAATTTCCACTGTTTTTGAGCATCGTTTTCCGATGTAAACATATAACTGTGACGTCATAATGAAATAGGGCAATTGAATTGATTAATCATATATTAATCATTGATAAAATATTGATTATTAATAGTATTATCATTATTGTCTTTGTTGTGCTTTTGTTATTTATTACTTTATGTTATGCCAACTCGAATATTTTGTAATTAGTTTTCATAATAATGATATTTAATAATAATGATAATAATAAYTATAACATTCAGAGMACGATMAAAACAAGTTCATTAAGACTCTAAAATGTCGTTGATCTAATCCTCTTGGGACATTTAGTCCATCATTTTMATTGTTAAGGATCAATTGACAACAGAATTGTATTACAACGTCAATCCGTWATACATCTAGTAGCTTCCATTCGTTATGCTAKCGTACAGCTGAAATGGGCCTTAACCAAACCTATCGCATTATGTATCTTTACTTCATACTGGATATCAATGCAGTAGTTGTTGTTTTAAGCGATGGAACTCCGCAGGRGATGAATGTAGTATTGTATAGTTGCTGTACATAGGTACGAGGTTTCGCCGCTTTTTTCATGTACTTAGTTCAAAGTATTATTTCTCCAGGCGTTTTTCTAAGAAATGTCTTATAGAATTGATGTCCTAATTATAACAGATTTATACAAATATAATTTTCTGTTTATTCTTTAGGTGATATGGGGGCCAATTTAGGGATATACTCGCCTCGTCAACAAATAACGTTGCAGCCTCGAATAGCTGTTGATAAGAACCCGAACATCGGTAGAAAATATGGCTCGAAATCCGTAGGATTCTATGATGAAAATGAAATCTCTGACTCAAGAAGAGAAAGCGACCCACTTATACGAAAGGACAAGGACAGTTYTAAAGACATTTATAATGATAGCGTTACACACGACACAAATARAAACTTCAAAACACGGAGAAGTCGGCGGGTCACGCTCAACGTGTCGGGCTTCAAGTACCAAACATATACAGAGACCTTGCACAAATTTCCMGAAACACTTCTCGGAAATCCACAGAAAAGACAAGATTACTACGACCCTGAGTTGCGCGAATATTTCTTCGATCGAAATAAGCAAGTATTTGAAATTATTCTTTATTTTTATCAGTCAAATGGAAGGCTTGTTTGCCCTCCAGATTTGGCACCTGAAATTCTTCTGGAAGAAGTTGAATTTTTTGAACTGGGAGAAACAGCTATTAGCGCCGTAAGAGAATTGCTTACTGATGAAGAACCTGAGGATCCACCTCGAGATCTTCCAAAGAATAAACTCCAAAGACAAACATGGAACCTTTTTGAGTATCCCGATTCGAGCAGAGGGGCCCGTTTTCTGGCCCTTTTTTCYGTATCAATTATCGTAGCATCCATTATAATTTTATGCGCAGAGACCCTTCCAAATTTTCATGTCATCACAGATTCGGAGATGAAGAATGTTAACGACACAGCAGAAAGGGAACAAGTGCGAAAACACAATGAAATCGCGAGAACAGGGAAACAGTGGTTCAGCAACATGGAGGCTGGATTTATTGCGTGGTTCACTTTYGAATATCTTGTTCGGTTCTTTTCAAGCCCGAAAAAACTATCGTTTGCTCGATCTTTCTTGAATGTGATCGATATCTTGGCTATTGTCCCTTTTTATATCGATCTTCTTCTTAACTCTTTTGTAAAAGACAGTGAGAAGCTGTCGCTGGCATTTCTTCGAATCCTTCGTCTAGTTCGTGTTTTCCGAATATTTAAGCTATCCCGACATTCAAGCGGGCTCCAAATACTAGGTTTGACCCTTAAAAAAAGCCTTCGGGAGCTTGGACTGTTAGTTTTCTTTCTTATCATTGGCGTTGTGATATTCTCCAGTATGGCTTACTACGCCGAGGCTGGRGAGCCTGGGACTCACCTTGGACGCAGTATCCCGGCAACCTTTTGGTGGGCATTAGTTACCATGACGACCGTTGGGTATGGTGACCTGTACCCCAAGACATTATGGGGTAAATTAGTTGGATCTTGTTGTGCATTGTGTGGTGTYCTGGCTATTGCGTTACCTGTYCCTGTTATTGTATCCAACTTCGATGCTATTTATAAGAAACATAGAAGTCGAAAAATAAAGCAAGGTGAGTTCSTTAYAATAATRYAGTTATACTTCTGTTAAGCGCCGGAACACCCTCGACATTTCCAATGTGGGCGTTCAAAAGCGGTTGGCCGCWTARCAGAGGTATCACTGTACAGTGGAGTTCCATTGATACGGTCATCAAAATGSMGACTGGCTGTATTGGCAGGGTTTCCACTGGGATRTTTGGGTACATTKGCGGGGGAGCAAAAGATTAATTTTAATTWTTTTTTTAAGTTTCAWTGACTTTCATTATCTTTTAAAGCTGGAATCGATGARGAATCTGAGGACACCCGAAAAATTAGTATAATGGTCTCWTCAGCCTCGACTTCTTCATTCAATGAAGAGGATTCGCCAACTTTTAAGAGGGCCAATGAACTGGATATKTTAGAAAACAAGACTGACAAACCGTTGAGCAATGGAAAGTTCAAGAAGTCAAATGGKGATCCTAAAACKGGTCCTGTTGAACCTGAATTGGAATTGATTCCTATGGACATGCCCAATTGCAACTCTGTCAGACCTATAGGTGTCGAAACKGCCCTGTGACGASTTGAATYCGAATGTCTACCAAGCGATAAGTAACTTAAATAATATAAAACAGCAATATGATGCTTATACTTGACTATCTCTAAACTACAACCCATGCAAAATGGAATAGCTAGGCCGTTCACTTGTCGTTTATAATGCCTACAGCAAGAGGTCGAAATGGGAGTGGGTAGKGGGGGTGCACACCCCTCTTCCCCAATTTTCTCTCTCCGATGATGAAATTTGATCTAGTTTACCCAGTTTTGATGTTGTGTATCTTGTTGTTTTTAATGTTAACTTATAAACTATTACCAAAGACAAATTCTTATTTTTTTATGTTTCGAAAGAATTTTTTTTCTTTTTTTTAATTTTAATTTTAAAAATGTCAACCAACGAATCTTAAGTCTAAAATTAGTTCTCTTCATAGAGTGTTCCTGTATCACATAGGCCTTAAAAAACTGCCAAGTCATGGCTTCAGGTTCCGCTGTGCTCAAACTCGTATKCGAATTATATATACCAAGGCTATTTGATTTTGCATCGGTTTGTAGCGATCTAATAAGTGCCCTCCAAGCATGTCCTTTTCCATCCTTGGAAAAACCGACACTAAGAACCTTGTGAAAAATTCGAAAGGGTTGAACATCTTTTCCAATGTCCAGATTCCACTGTGAAAGGAGCCGGGGTCGTCTATCCGTGAACGTAACCAAAAAAATAGCGAGTAGGGGCAACTCGCTGAAAGTCAATGCTGGTTAAACGCAAGTTATTAGGTCTGCAAAGAGGGCTAATTCTATTCTTGATACAAATATAAATGCAAATTCGCTAGTATTAACCGTTAGCTCTGGAGTCAAGTTCCATAAGAATGATCCGTGGCATCACTAAGTTTCCGCTCTGCCCCTCACCCCCCTCCCCTTCCGTTTTCCCCCTTCCCCCTCCACTAGAGCTGCCACGCAGGCTACTAAGCGACGGAAGAGCGTATTCAGCAAGACAAAAGACGTTCTTTTTATGTAATGTTCGTGTTGCCAACTGATAATCTTTAGGAAACTTGGTCCCAGACTTCACGATATGATATGGTAGTTTAAGGCTGGCTCATATAAGAATCATTATACAATCACATATTACTGATATCGGGGATATACTTGTGAATGAATATGTCACATATTGAAAGAATAGAAAATCTGACAGTAACAACGATTCTTTCACTCGTAACGTTGTTTCAGCGAAGTGCATCATGGTATTGATAAAAGTTTYAAAATGGCGGTTGTCTTAAAAAGAACCAAGTTTCTTAGCGAAATAATGTATAGGATGTCGAAAATGCTTTGGTAAAAACTAGATAAGATGCCAGTCCACTAGAGTATATACTAAAAGATCTGTTTGGTGAATACGTAATGCTTGTTGTTGGTAAGACAACCCGAAACACAAAGGAARCTACTTTTGTCATTCCCATAGTGCATCAGTCGCTGACGTTATATAGGGGAAAGGAACAATGTGCTCTGAATATTCCACGGTTCACAAAAACATAAATTATAAAATTATCCCCGATATCATCGGTGAATTACTGGTAGGTTCTATAGTAGTTGTCCACAAATATGAAGTTTACCTTTTCAAAAGGGAAACTGGAAAGCTAATCGTGGACAGTATTCCATTTTACTGTTCTCAGCGCCATCTTGAAAATCAGCCGAGAAAACTTTTATTCACAGGTACGACAACTGTTCACCAGGTACCTATCATAGCTGAACCGCTGTTTCGTGCGATACGTAGGCTCGGCTGGCTTTCAAGATGGCGCTGGGAAATGTGCATGGAGCATTGGCAATTTTTGCATTCTGTTGTCGATATGACTTTGGTATAGATGCTACTAGCGCCAAAAAATCTATCAACAAGTAATTAACTCGTCTGAGGTTAGATTAGAGACTCGAACTATACAATAGCAAATTAAGAACCTTTCTTAATATAATTTTAATGATGCAAAAGTTGAGGTATACATAAGCTCGGTGAAGTCCTTAGTTTTAACAACAGTAAATATTATTAAAATCAATTCATATCAAAGAATTGTATGTCATTCGTGCGGGTTCCCTGTGCTTTTTAGTTTTGGGCTTCCTTTAGCGAATCCATGCCATATATGGAAACAAACAAAATGGCGGATTGTTTAGAAGTGTTTTCGCTATAATATCTGCAAGTTTCCAACGATTTCAAGCTTTAAAAGTCGAGAAAATCGACAAAAACCATTCCTATCGAACTTCCAAATAAGGTAAGATTACCATATATGGCTGCTAAACGAAGGATAACTTTGTGGGGGCAATTGTTTGATATGTAGCAGACTGCAGTATTACAAATATAATAATTGGAACTGGATTCCAGTAATAACAACAGATAGTTGTGAATTTTGATAATACTGCAATTGAATTATTTAAAAAGGGGCTAATTTCCCCCTCGACTTTGCTGAGAAAAGAATCCCTTTTCAGATCTAGAATACGAGTTACAACTCGAACACGAGTTAACAACTCAAGTACGAGCTTTAGACCCCTTGCATATGACGTCAAACCAGCTTCATGTGGAAGACAAAACAAAAGCTTTTGACCTCTTAGGAACTAGAATGCATTGTATTTCAAGCATGAGTTTGCAATTCGAAATTTCAACCGAACAGCGATGAAGCTGAATTTATTTTTGTTCTGCAGATTTGCGATTGTTACGAATACTGGTAACATGTCATATTACACACGTACGCCATTTTTGATTATGCTGAATGGGATGTGAAACGGTTGCAACTTAATCAAACGTTGTACAGTCTATGAATTTCTAGTTGTCTTCCCCGGACGTCCCACTGCAGTTACAAGAAACAATATATTGAATATAAGATGACTGTTTGTAATAAGATCGAGCTAAGCTAATGTCACGTGATCTGAAAAGGGATGTTATGTAATTCGATATACTAATCGTGGCTAAGGGATCAATGGTCACGTGATTGAAGCCATTTTGGATACCCAAAAAGGATAAGTAGTTTTTAATAAGAGAAGATCTTCAGATAAAGAGGAAAAGCTGTTCTATTAGGTATCCAAACTGGTTTTCCGTTGTCACGTGATTGCATTGAGCTTCACATATGACCTTTTGCCAATTTTTAAGGAACAGCGGTAGCCATCAGAAAAGAATGAGCATGCTTTCAAATGAGTATCCGCAGGACGTGTCTCAAGTAATCGCAGGCGGTTTTGATAAATGACATTGAAACATTTTCTGAATAATCTAACATACTAATAGTTCTAACTTATCATTCGTTGTTGTGGGAGCCTCACTTCGAGTGCTCTTATTTCCCTTGCAAAGGATTACTGGGTAAAGTCGCCATCTTGTATAATTCTGTACAGTAATTCATTAGAATGAAACCCTGAAGTGAACTAATATAATATTAGGGTGTCAGCAATTCAAATGTGTATAATTTTAGGTCTTCTGGCATTTTTGAAGGATTTATTGTCTTATCTCCAAAGATAGATTGATTTTGCTTATTTTAATATAATTAAAGTTTATAGATTTTGTCTGTATGTTTGGTCTCACTAATACAGACCGATACGAAAAATGATGGACATCCAATTAACAATTGCCCCGAGCTGAGTGGCTTCTCATTTATGGAAATGTATTTTGTATTGCTACATAATTGTTATTCAATCTTCATTCAATGTACTAAATCCATGCGCGCGATTGGCTAAAATCAATCACGTGATTCTGTGATACGTCACGTCATCACCTACTGACCGTGCACTATTAGGAATACATCATATGCCATCACACAACAGCTGTCATCAAAATGGCCGATTTAGTACATGGAATGAAGATTGAATATTAATTTGTATTGCTGCATGAGCAATTATATTTTTACGTTGTCCGCCATTTTTTGACTTGGTCTATATCTCGTATGATTCATTATCCTTTATTTAAACCGCATGCAAGAAAGCAAGCATAACACTTTGATCCCCAAAGATTTTATTTCATCTCATTTCTTTTATTTTGTACGTTTGTAATCGACGGAAGATGTACTTCAGTGAGATGCGACAGCAATTCATCATGGGAAATGTAGCTGTAAGGTTTATTTCCGTTTGACAGTGAAGGAAGGACACGATGTCGCGTATGCTCTGCAAAATCCGATGATTTGATTGGTGGGATTTGATACGTATCGTCAATACAGAAGCTTTTACTTGGGGTCCCTTTGTTACTGATTGACTTATTGTGTACGTCAGGTAATCCCAAATATGGAATTGCAATCGATGCATCCTTTAATCTATCCCGAAATACCGCTGGAACGGTTGACTTTTTTGTGAGGTTTGCCCGATTGACGTTATGGTATCCATGTTGTGCTTTCTTGACGTTGCCATGGTCTTTGTCATTTATAGCGGGAGTGTGAATATTTTTAATGTGAAGTCGTCCAGGCTCTGCTTCTTCGTTTATTGCGTATTTAGGACTGAGGTTTGTCCACGTGACTTTTAAAATACCGTACGAGCTTTGCCCCCATTCATGCGATACTAAAATTAGTATATAAAGATAATAAAAAGGTAAGAATTAAATATAGCACAAAGAAAATTCTTCGTTTTCAAGTTACGTCACAGCGGCCATCTTGGAGGAACTTCAACAAAGGATTTCTCATTAGTATATATTGTTCATATCTCCAACATGGCCGCCGGTCTTTTATCTTTTGAATCTCATGGGAATGGTTGTAAAAACGATCAATATATACTAATGAGAAATCTTTTATCTTTTGAATCTCATGGGAATGGTTGTAAAAACGATCAATATTCGTGGAACATTAATGATATTTATCTGTACTATTTCATACTTTCATTCGTTTTTTTGTTTTTTGTTTGTCCAACTAGCAGCTAATTCTAAAGGTTCCTCAAAATTTTCCTCGATTTACAGGTAATGTTAATTTTGCATTTAGTGTAATTTTAGATTTCATAAAACATTCTACAACTTGAAAAATACTTTTAACAATACCACGATCCAATTTGCTAAAAAAACATGGCGTCATAGGTGAGAAGGGCCATTTTTTCCATCAAAGATTTTGCCGTATCTTACAATTTGTTACCTAGTCTGAAAAATCAATATTTACCTGTCGCGAAATTTAGCCTTTCAGGCAGAGCCCCTACTACTCTCTGTGACGCAGATCTTTCAATACCGCGATATGCTGGTCGAGGTCGCTTTAACTCAACAGTATGAACCAACCGTTCGCCGCTTATTCCTGGGGCGAGGCAGTTGCGAAGGGGTGTGTGGAGCATGGTGACTAGTCGATCGGCTGCTTGTGTTTTTGGCTTAGTCTATGGACAGGAAAAAAAAAGATTCTATATTTTTTATAAAATGCTTAGGATTAAATAGATAGCTGTTCTAGATATTATCAACATCAGTAATATTTCATTGTAAATACTTGTTTTATAGTCTTCTTCACAAACAGCTCTTGTTTTTGAATCTTTGTCTTTCCATGGTCAACCATCGCATCCAGTGTTCCCAAAGGTTGCTGTAAAACACCAATTACTATTGTCTTTGTGAGCTGTTTGCGCTCTTCTCGATCAGAAACCGACAATAAAGCACCAATAAGATCAGATATTTCCACTTGTTCGGAAGCCCCTCTTTCCCTTTTTTCAATGCGCTCGCTTTCAACGATATCCGACCTATCAGACAACTGCTCTTGTGTTACATCACAAGCGCTCAGTCCATCCTCTTCCACAGGGAATCCAAAACTGTCTGCGACAGAATCTATGGCAGCTCTTTTGAGAGAAGCTTTGTAGATCGGTGACTCCATAACTACGTCGTGGCTGCGCTTTCGCTGAGCAGAGATTGGTCGAATGACATGATTTATTTTCCAAATAGCTTCTTTGTCCAACTGAATGCTGTTTTTACCCTCCGTCACAAGATCAATTTTTCCTTTTAGCAGATCAGCCACAACGTCTAGACTCAGTTTCTTCGATTGAGTCATCTTAGGTAATACAGTTAACGTATTTAGGACGTCGCTGAGGCGAAGTTCCTCCTGAGAATTCTCGCGTTTCATTCCTAATAAAGACAGAGCGACAACGCGTCCAACATCGGTCGTAGTTGCTTCGTGCACGATGTCAAGAAGCTCATCTATAGTGATTGTACTTTCATCTTGTATTCCTGGTTCTTTTTCAGAGGGTTTGTCGGGTGATATCGTGTCAGGAGACTTGAGTTCCTCACTAGCCATTCCTTGCGACTCTCTCTCTATTTGATAAAAAAATATATGAAATAACTGAAACTGATAGATGGTCGACAACCATTTCACTAGGCCAATTGCACTATGTAAGGTGGAAATTTAWATAAACTTTCCCTGGACTGGTTTCGTGATTTTCTTCAGATAAAAAAGCGGATCACTCAAACACAGGGTCTACAACAATTATGGGAACAAACGAGATACACTCAATAGGAGAAAGCTAGTTGTTTGTTCTCAGGAAGAGATATAACCCCCCAGGCTTAATTCATTGAACTTTAATCAAAAACCTGCAATTTTGATGTACTTATATATGTTTCTAGGTGCTACTTTTATATGTAATAGGACTCCATGCTGTCCAATTAAGAAATAATTGGACGAGGAAAATTCCGAGGACTGCCAAAAATTGGACGAGGCCGTGGCCGAGTCCAATTTGGCAGTCAGAGGAATTTTTCGAGTCTAATTATTTCTTAATTGGACAGCATGGAGTCTTATTACCTATTAATTATATAGCCACATATTGATCACAAATAGGTAAAAGCCAACCATGTTTTATTGCTTTTCTCCTTGCCTGTAACAACCAATGTAACACTAAATAACAGGGGGCTAACTAGAAAACTTATTAGTTAATTTAGCCCTCTGGCTCTCATTCTTTTACATAAATTTGCATATTCTCTATACCTATTTATCGTTTTATTACAAGCACCTTTGTTTCTGTCAAGTTAAAAGCAAAAAAGAGCAATAAAACAGTTTCAGTTTCAGTTTCAGTTTCAGTTTCAGCTTTTAACAAAAACCCAATTGAAAACCTGTCCAATTAATTTCTTAATTGGACAGGATTCCAAAATTAACGAAAAATCCAGCTTTTACCTATTTGGGATTAATATGTGGCTATATAATTAATTGTATAATATTTCTTGAATGGTTAAATTAAATCCAAATTTCTTTGGCAGATTTTTTAGACGCAATAAATTACCCTAAAAAAGAAATTTGTTGAAAGAAAAAAATAGAAAAAGAAGAACTCATTCGTGTTGGGATTCGAACCCGTGACCACAAAAATTCGAAAAAGATTGGGACGATTCCCCCGAGACATTCTGTGAAGCTGAGGCGTCGAATCGTTTTACATTCCGGTTAGAGATTTCGGCTCTTCCATGCTATCCCGATAATTGGTCCT